ATTCTTTCCAGTGGAGAAGATGAGATCGGGTCAGAAGTTTCACATATCAAATGTGGTTGTTTTGGTTTTGTTTTGGGTTTTTTTTTTTAAATACTAGAACTCACAAACTTAAATGGCTGTTGTTTTCAAACAAATTGTATTGTGTTAATGTATTTCTGCCAATAATGTTATTCATTGTGTGATGTATATCTTAATTACTCCAAACGAGTATATTTAATAGCAATTTCAATAGAACTGTTATTACCTTATAACATTTCACTTCTTACCAAATTGAATGGTGTAACTTGATCATCCACCTCGCTTACAGACTTGATCCCTAATGACTTCTGGTTGTTCTCCAAGACAAGCCTGTCCTTAAATGGTAAACGTCGGCTAGGCTAGCTGTGAGAAATGAGACTAAGTCGACAAACATTTATTACGCAACTGCTCCATTCCAGGCACGATTACAGGCAAAGGGAATATAGCAGTGAATATGACAGAGTTCTGTCCTCATAGAACTGACTTCCAGTGATGAAATGTTTGTGGAAACATTTTGTAAGCCACAAAGAAATAGGTATTCCTAATAATAACCAACAATTTCTGAAGAGTTTCAATAGAGAAGTTCCAAAAAGTTTTTCAGGTACAGTAGAAATAGATATGAATACAATCCCTTAACATGGTCACTTTAGAGGACATTCTGTTTAAATCAGTTGTGTGTGTGTGTGTGTGTGTGTGTGTGTGAGAATATAACATTTGGCTATATTCCTTTAACTTCAAGTACCTTTCTTATGTAAAAATGAGGGTGCTTTTCTGACTGTAACCTTAACTACCTTTGGGAAAGTCCAAACCCAGAAATGCTAACAGATTATTAAATTATATCGAATAAACTTAAAGAACCCAGAGGGTGCTGAATTTAACCCAAACTTTAGATGAAATAATACAAGTTCTTGGATATTTCAATGGTCAACTGCCTTGTATTTACAGAGACCACATCCTTGACATTAAATAGGCGAACTGTTGAGTAATTAATAAAATTGTTGAACATATTTTAAATGTGTCCATAGTGTGTAGATATGCTCACTCAGAGCTTTTGAAAGTAAATTTAACATCTGCATTGCAACAGTCATTCTAACAAGAAAAGTATAAGAAAAATTACTCAATTATGCCAACAGGAAAAAGGAAACGCAAACATATTTAAGTCATCTGCCACTTTTTATAATCACAGCAAGAAAGAACATATGAACACTTGGTACTTAATGACAAGTTTTTTTTTTTTTAACTGGAAGCTACAAAAAGCCACGGGACTTTAGCAAACCTTATGTTTGAAATGATAGAAAATCATTTCTATACATGGTAAATTCTGTGCCTCTAACTTAGCTATTCCACATTTGTTGAATTCAGTATTGTTTTTCACTGTAACAGTATAGTTCCCCTTATAAGAACACTCTCCACCCCATCCATTTACTCAGCCACTCTTTCTCTGGTGTCTAGGCGCAGTATATCTTTCTACATCAGTGCATTCTGGATCTCTTATCAAGTAAAGGAAGTAATCAGCCCATCTGCTTTGTTAACTACTCAGCACTTCAGAAGATGGACTCTTTGGACGCCATGGAAGGTAAACAGAGGCAAAGTGTATCGATTTACTAGTTTACCACCTATAGCAGAAGCATTAATTTAGTAATAACCATACGTTGAAAATGTTTTAGAAGCTTGGTTGGTGCACGTACCAATTTTTTCATTTCTCTCTAATCCAAGATAGGATAATATCCTTTCCATCTATAGTACATTATTGCCATGAAACATTTAAATCTTTTGAACTGTTAACATTGTCTTGTGACATGTTACTTTATGTTATAGGTGATGTTGAGCTTGAATGGGAAGAAACCACCATGTAAATATTCAGACCAAAGAGTACAACTGGAAGATACTTCCAAGTCCCAGGGGCCAAAGTTACCCCCTCAGTCTTCTGAATTGAAATGTGCAACCTGAAATAAATCTCCACACTTCTCTTACTGTGCCTTACTAAACGGGCTGACATGTTATGAATAGTTCTAGGAAGGAGCTAATTCAGGATAGCTGTTTTGTACAGAATATTATATACTTAAAGTGTTTAAGAAAAGATACCCCAGAGATTTTTGAAGCCTTCTGTATTTTCGGAATGAGCCAAATATAAAACAATTATTATATTTGCATTAATGGTTCAATGTCAATTTTCCCTACATATTGGATTCAGTCTTGAACAAAAGTTGTAAATGTTGATTCAGTCGTGTTATTCTGGCCTCCGGAGTGTTGACGTTTCTTGCGGATAACTTCCAGGACTGTCATCGTGACCGGCACTTCGATGTATGCCCTGTGTTTTGAATCCTCTGTTTTATGAGTGCTGAGATACCATCTCCCGATCTCGAACAGCTGAACAGTAACCCCCTGACCCTGCGGGATTACTTAGCCTTTATGCAACACACAGTAGCTCTTCGGGGACACTTAGGGCTATTTAAATTGCATTGTGATCTTTCATTTGAAAAAACAAAAGGAAAAATTAAACAGTGCAACTGGTCATATGAAGTTGCAGAATACTTTTCCAGCCTGTCTACCTTTGTACATTTTCAGGGACAAGCTCTACCACTATATTGTACATTTCAATGCACAGTTGAATGTATCAGTATTTGTCCATTAGATATATATTCAACCTAATAACAGTTTTGAAGGGTTTCTTCAGCAGAAATGTATAAAAGCAGTAATAAAAATGTAATGTGTTGGAAGCTTGTAAACCAATGATGTGCTGCTGTGGTGCCAAGTGACTTCTGGATAGATTACATCAAATGGTTCTTATTTCACTTCCCAAGGTTGATTACTGAAGAGTATATTTGGTGGAACTGAAAACAAAGAGATTAACCAGATTGTAGCAAATTAGAGATTTTTTTTTTAAAGAAGCTATTTCACCCTCCTTTTTGTTGTATAGTGACACTATACTAAGTAAGTTTTGAACTATATGAAATTATTTTGTCATTGATTTCAGTTAAGGGTCATAAAAATAAAATAGCATTATTTCTTTCATGATAAGAATTATATGATGCTTATTTCTGCTGGAATATAGAGAAAATGATGGCCGATAAAAGTGAATTTTAAGAAACTGAGTTACTTTGCAACTAGATTTCAGAGGTCCTTATAAACAAATTTGATTTTGTATCACATATTAAGATATAATTGACAATATCATAATGTAATAAAGTATAAAGTACAGTGTAATAATGAATATAAATAAGATATAATGATTTCCCAAGGTATCCACAGATAGTAATTTTAAAATCGAGTATTATCCAAGGAATTAAATCCTTTAGTCTTACAAGCAATTCTGCTTTCTGTTTTTTTTTTAACGGCAAAGGCATGTAAATAAATAAAAGCTATTAATGTTTCAACCAACAAGTTTACTCTATAGAAAGTTACAGAAGACAATAAACTGAAAACTCTAAAAAGATTCAAGTTGGAGTTAGAAGTTCTTCAGTTTGCTTCATGTGTCAGTCACTGAAAATATGTGGTAAACCAGCACTTATGAATGTGGGGTTTTATATTCATGAAGACTGATGACAGCCTGTGGAAAGTATTAGGGAGTTTACTTTTAAATGTATTAAATGATAAGAAAGTAAACAGATCAATCCACAAGCTAGTCCATTTTCTATGATTCTATACAAGACAGAGGGTACAGCATAGTGTTTCAGGTCTGACCCATATGTATTTGCATGTGTGTGCATATAAAATAGTTTTAATGTAAGGCCTCCCCTAAAAGAGTGCCTATCAAACTTATGTGTATACGAATCATCTGCGGATTGTACTAAAATGCAGATTCAGTTTCAGTAGGTCCAGGTAAGACTTACGATTCTTCATTTCTAGAAAGACTCAAGTTATAATATTGCTGCTTGATCTCAGGCCATACATTGAACAGCAAATCTCCAAAAGACAGGATCAAAATAATTTTATTTTTACCTGAAATTATTTGAAACATGCTAAAAATACGTCTTAATTATCAGAAACAAATTATAGCAGCACCTGTTCAATGTGTACAGTTCACCACCTACACCACAAAACTAACTAAAAGTGAATTGAAACTAACATATCAACGACAGCTAAATTTTCTCTTAATTATATCGTGAAAAAGCTAGTTTATAGCCAAGTTTTATAGTTGGCTACTAAGTGCAAATTAAAATAATGAGGAACATCTGTAACATTTTTAGATCACATTTGTCAAAATACGTTGAAGCACATGTACAATAAATGAGCAACATGTGTTTCATCTGAACCGAATGAAACTGGAGCCTCTCAGAATAGTTTGCCAGAGACGAGAGCAGCTGTGGGCATCACCTCTACTTTCATCCTGCTTTAAAACGCATAATTTTCTTCATTCACTTTATAGGTGAAATGTATAATAAGTCTTTTGAAAAAGCTAATTAAACCTTGCCCTCTTCGTAAAGGAGACGGTGATTCGCTCTTCACATCTGGTACCCAATGCTAGATTTAAAAACGAAATTTAAGTTCAAAGTACTCTGTATGTCCATGACATTATTATGGTAAGTCCATTTTTGTAGGCCAGCTTTTAGAAAACTCACAGTGGAAATACTGATGAAGTCTATGACCTGAAATTCCCAACTGAATGACACTAAAAGTGAAAATGTGTGAAAAGTTTATAAAGCATAATCTTGGCAAAACAGCTTGCCTTCTTAGGACAAGTAGTATTTCGTGGTAAATGACATCATAAATATGAGTAGAGTTTCCATTTGGAATCAGGACTCCTGTATTCATCAGTTCATGAAGATATTCTGAGGAATAGATTATATCACATATTTGGAAGTGTTGAGAAGTACAGTGAATTCTACGAATTTTTTTTTTACCCAGGCTGGACAGTGTGTAATGTTTATCAGTAAGATAATGCATCCCATTTTAAGACTCATGTTTGTTTGTTTCACATGCACACGATGGAGAAAACATTATGACAGATACACTGACTTCTGCTAGTAAGACCACTGATACTTTTTTTTCATGAATTACTGAGAGTTCTGAAAGGATGTTTGGACTAAAATGAATAAACAAACATGTACATAATCACACAAAATGTGACTTGGAAAACAAATCAAGAAAAATTTCATTTCAGGTGTTTCAAATGGAAACACTAAATCAGTGTCTGCAATATATTCATTTGAAAATTAACTGAACAGAAGGTAATGAAAAGCATTATTCGCCCTTGTTAACAAGACTGTTTCTAAGATCAAAATTTAGTTTAAACTTTGCTCAAAGTATTAGATTGAGAGTCATTTTAGTAAACTATAAACTTTTTACAATGTTTATACCCATCATCCTGATTAATCCTTATGAAATCCTCTAAGATCTGCAGTGTCCCATATTACAGATAAATATAATGAAACTTAACAAATGTGCCTGAGATCATATTTAGTAAAGATGGAAGATGCATATCATGATCAAGTTACTGAAAGCCAATGATAAAGATAAAATTTTTTAAAAGGCAATAAAGAAAACAGAGACCTACTGAGGGGTTCCAAAATAAGAAAACATGCCAGCTTCTACTCAGGAACAATGCAAGCCAACCTACACTGGAATGACAAATTCAAAGTGCTGCAAATACCTCTTAAACCTGATTAAGCGTAAGCACAAAAAAGCTAGAGCTAACACCATGGCAAAACACTAAAGGCCTTCATCCTAGGATCAAGAAAAAGGCAAAAATGAACACTTTCACACCTATTCAACCTTGTACTTGTGTTCCTAGACATTACAATGAGGAAAGAAAAAAGGAATAAGGTTTGTAAATGAAGAGACAAAATTGTCTCTATCAAACTATAACTATATATGAGGAAATTCCTGAGGAATCTACAAAAAAGCTGCTAGGTATAATAAATAGCTTTTAAAAGGTTACAAGATATCAGATCAAGATATAAATCAATTTTATGTCCACATACCATCAATGAAATGGAAATTGTAATTACAAATATCATTAACAATAGCATTGTAAATATAAAGTGCTTAGAGTAAACTTAAAGTATCTACAAGATATATACACTAAAAACAATATTGATGAGAAGAATTCAAGAAGACAAGCTTTTTAAAATTCATGTCCATGAACTCAAAAACTCAGAAATGCAGAGAAGTCAATTCTCCTCATACTGATCTACTGACTCAATGGATTACCCATAAGGCTTTGTTTTCTAGAAATTGATAAACTGGTTTTACAATTTATATGGAAATGATGCACAAGATCTAGAATAGCCAAAACAATTTTTAAATGGTGATTTACACTATATATCTATACTATTTGTCATTAAAAGAAAAAATATAAAGTCAAAAAATAATTTCTCACATAGCTGGTCAATTACGTTCCAACAAAGGTGACAAAGTAATTCAATGGAGAAAAGAGAGTCATATTGGAAAAACATGAACCTTCATGTCTAGCCCATAAGACAAATACAAAAGTTAACTTCAAATGCAACACAGATCTAAATGTAGAGGCTAAAACTATAAAGCTTATAGAAAACAGTAAGAAAATTCTCATGCCTTTGGGATAGGCAAAGATTTCTTAGAGTACAAAGAAATGAAATATAAAAGAAAAAATGATATTTTACTTCATTAAAATTATAACACCTTGCTCTTCAAAAGACACTATTAAGAAAATCAAGCCACAGGCTGGGAGAATGGGTGAAAATGGCACAATAAATGTGACAAGATTCAAGTCCTGAGGCTAGTATTCAGAATACATGTAAACTTACAGAATAATACACACACTTGGCCAATATATGAAAAAGTGCTCAGCATCATTAGTCATCAAGGGAATGAAAATTAAAATCAGAATGAAATAACCATACTAACAGAATGATTAAAGCTAAAATGGCTGGTACTATCAAGTCATCCCAGCATGGACTGGGAGCAGCTGGAACTGCTATGACATATAATATAATCACTTTGGAAAACAGTTTGGTAGTTTCTTATAAAGTTAAACAAAATACTCTATAACAATATTACCAGGCATTTCCACTCCTAGTCATTTATCCAAGAGAAAGTAAAACTCATTTCCAGAAAAGGACTTGTACTAACAGTACACTTAGCAGTTTTATTCATAATGGCCAAAAAATGGAAAGAGTCCAAATACTCATCAGCATGAATGAATAAATTGTGGTATTTTTTGACAGTGAACTACAACATAGCAATAAAATAGATATGAACTATTGATACACATAAGAATAGGGAAAATCCTCAAAAACACGATGCTGAGTGAAAGACAGACACAAGGGAGTATATATTGTTAGAATCCATTCAGATCAAGTTCTAGAGCAGGTCAAACTAAACTATAGTGATGGAGATCAAATCAGTGATTTCCTGGAGTAGGGTATATGTGGGGACTTGAGTGCAGTGGACAAAAGAGGACTTTTGGGGGGTGATGAATGTGTTCTATGTCTCAAATGGAGTGTTATTTATACAGGTATATTCATTTCTTAAAATGCTTTAAAAATTGTATACATGCAATGAGTACATTTTTTCATGTAAATGATACTTCATAAAGTTGATTAAAATAAAAATAGTTTAAGATATTTATAACATGCTTTTATATAATGTTTTTAAAATACAAATAAACAACAAGGTCCTACTGTACAGCACAGGGAATGATATTCGATATCTTGTAATAACCTATAATGAACAAGAATTGGAGAAAGAATACATATATATATAAATGTATAACCAAATCACTGTGCTTTACACCAAAAACTAACACTTGGTAAATTGTACATTGCTAAGTCAACAACACTTCAATAAAAAAAAAAATATTTAAAGCATATATGGCAACAAAGATTTAACATTAAGTAATGAGTAAAAACATTTAAATAATTATTATTTTATGTATATATTACTGATATATTCTATATAAGTATAATTTTGTATTATATGCTATACATATCTAATGTATAATTTTATATATTTAATAATTTAATAAATAATTTTAAATAAATGATTTCAATATTTTCTGTGTTTGAAGTATTTCATGATTTTAAAAGCATGAGTATAATTTAAATGTTAGTAATTTAATACAATGACTTAAATGTTTATGGATTATTTTCACTAATCAAAGTGTCCTGCTCTCTCACTTGAATGAGGGCAATATGGAGAGAAATAGTTACTTATTTACTACATTCCCAAAACACTAACAATTGGTGTTTCCAACATTAAAAATAAAACTTGACACACTACAAGTGCTTTCCACAGAATTCACCAAGTTCTTATTCACTTGGTATTTATAACCAGGTGAACTGCTGTGGAAGACATGATGAATTCACACGCTGGACTCTTGTACGGGAATACAGAGCCCCATTAGCCTCAGGGCAGCACATTCATAAAGCTGATGCATGCTAACAGGGCCAACACCCGCTCCCTGGGCTGTGACATCAGAATTATTTTAAGGAATACACTGACAATTGTGATATGAATCATCTGCATGAGGTAGACTTACAATTTTATTTATTATAATTAATAACTTTATCAAATCATTACTATGTGCCAGGCACTCTTCTAAGGATTTTACAAATATTAATTAATCGCCTGACAATTCTTGCAAGTAGGTGCTATGACCTAGAGCTAAAATTGGAAATCTGATTTCAGAGTTTATAGTA